TGCAATATCAACAACAATGTCAACATCTAGACGGTCTCCTTGATATTGTGGAGAAAAACTTACCAAAACTGTGTAAAATCATTTAAATAAGGAGAGAAAGAATTTGTTTACTAATATTTATGTGGTCATTTCTCATGCCACGTGTGCACCGTACACATTTTACCATTGGAGATGCTCTCATAAGCACCGATGATGATTAAGACATTTTACAATCAGTTTTTTTATTTGTACAATTGGTTTTAATAATTGTACCATACATCATAGTCTCTATGTCTCCTCCCTATCTCCTTTATAACCCCACCGTTTGGTTCCCAACATTGTATGTATGGCCTTAGCATTTTAATTATATGATGCACTTCGATTTCTATGATTTTCTTTTACTCATGTTCTTGTTTTTCAACACCTCTGAGTGTGAAAACTGAGGCCCTTTTGGAATTCAAAAAGCATATCACCGACCCCTTGAGTATTCTTGATTCTTGGAATGAATAGGAAAGCCCCTGCCATTTTCATGGTACTACTACATGTGATCAGGGCCGGTCCCGCGAGAATAAAATTTGGACCTTTTTTCAAGTTGCAACACAAGCAAATTGTCTTAAAATACAACTTACGAATAAATGTAATGATAAAAATAGTCATTAATAACTTATAATTTATTTAAAAAAGGACATTCTTCAAGCATATTTAGATTTACGCAGGGGGATTTTGGGCTGGGACGTAATACTAAATTTTTTTTTGGGCCCTTCAAAAATCCGGGCCCTGTGCGGTCGCACTGGGCAGCCATGCCCTGGGCCAGCTCTGCATGTGATCCAAAAAATGGTTTAGTTACACAGAAATCTCACTTGATTATTGATAACCAGAGTCTCTCCGGAGTGATATCACCGTCGATTTCTTCCCTCCAAAACCTCACATCTCTTGTGCTTGCATCAAATGCCTTATCGCGGATTCTCCCATCTGAATTTATCAACTGTATCAATCTCAGAGTCTTGAATGTTACTGGAAATAATATTAGCATTTTATGTTACTTTAATACTACCTCCATCCCGCAAAGAAATTCCCGCTTTCCTTTTTTAGCAGTCCCAAAAAGAAGTCTCCCTTTCCCTAAATGGAAAGTTATCCTACATCAAAACAGTGCCAAACAGTGTCAAACAGTGTCAAATTAGTAAAACTTACCCCCTGGTAAGTTTATTTCCTTAATATGTGTGTAAGTCAAACTGTGAACATCTTTGCGGGACGGAGGGAGTATACATTAATATGTCTTAATTTCCTTTATTGCATAGATATAAGTAGGCATGGACCCGGTTTCGGTCTCGAACCGACCACTTCCAGTTCCTATTTGGCGAAGCTCGGAACTGAATTGGGTATTACGACTACCGGTCCGGTCCTGGGTACCCCGCCGGTCCCAAAAAACCCTACGTGAGACCAGGTACCCTGAATACCCGGTCAAGTACACGGTCTAGCGGTCTTGACCCAACACCGCCTAAACAGACCCGACACATTTCTGGTTCTAGATCATCTGATCGAGGTCCATGCATACGCATACGTATCAAATGGAAATGTCAATATCGAGACACGAGTTTGATATGACACTTCGTATATTGTTATATATGTCTGTGTATAAATATAGAATAACTATAAAAGGGAGATGTTAGATTAACCAAGCATTCCAGCCCAGCTGGTTGTGAGGTTACCGTGCCTAGTGAGAGGTCTCGAGTTCGAAACCCACTAGGCACATAAGGGTTCGAAACTCAATGTGTGAGTTTTAGCCCTGATTACCCCAGACCCCTCAGCCTCCCTCCCCCAGACCCCCTGGAGTAAAAAAAAAGGGGAGATGTTAGATCATCACAGCCGCCGCCCCCAACTTGATCCAAAGTACACCATAATATATATCCGCCATTGCAATTTGTTTACTTCATATGCTTATAAGAGAAGAATATGAACCGTCATATTGAATCAGAAATATTATACGGAGTAGCTTTTATCTCGGTGGCACTATATATAATTCACATGCGTTATTGCACTTGCCTCTTAATAACTACAAATTGCACTTAAACATCGAATTGACACGCATGTTCCACACACTATTAACCTCATAATTTAGACCATTTTTTCCGCTTGTTTATCACCACAATATTAATATTCCGTATTACGGAGTATATTCTTATATATAGAGTGTTTGGGAATGATCATTGCCCCGCTTACAGACAAATTAAAGAGATGTCTCACACTTTTTTTAACATTCGGTTATATGAAAAAAAAATATGAATAAAGTTTGGCGCAATTTCAAATAACTCAAATATATTAATCACTAATGTTCCATTATATTTACCTTATCAAAATAATTTTGGGTATTTTCCAGGGGCGGATCTAGGAAAACTTGTTATTGGGGGCATCACCTAATGTACATCAAAAACTTGTTGTAGCACTCTGTAACAAATGCTAATGCTTATTATGTACTAAAATTAAATAGATTAGTTTAAAATTGAGCACTTCTCCTTATGGTTGTGTGAGACACTTTTATCATTTTAATTGTATTTGATTAAAACAGGCCTTAATTAATGACAAATGTTACTATATTGAATTTTGATAAGCACATAATTTCTTTTACGTAGCACACTACTCCCTTCTTCATACTAAAATTGTCTCATTATCCCTTTTTTGTTATGTTCCATTAAATTACATCATACCAAATATGACAATATTTGTATGATTTTAAATCAATCATACTTATTTTTTACATTATCAATTCAAAGTTATTCACTTAATTTTACTTTTCCTAATAACCATATTATCAAACATAAATCAAACTTAGAGTCCGTTTGGTAAAACTGAAATCGATTGAATAGGGTGATTCTTCTGAAATTTATGAAAATTTTGACTGAAGTCGTTGTATTGATTGATTCTGCTGATTTTTGAAAAAATTGTATTTAAAATTGTATTAATAAAATAAACAAAAAAATATATGAAAAATAGCTAAAATGATCATCTACTGTAACCTCAAAAATAACTTCAACCTTACTTTTCTCCTATTACTACTCATTTGAACGTGCAAAATCAAAAGTTGCATGTTTAGTTAAAAAGTTGGCTGATAAGCTTAATAAGCCGAAAATTAGAGTCATCAAACGGGCTTCTATAACGAGGATGAAAGTAGTATTTATAACTTGAAACAAAATTAAATTTGGAAAAGAGCATCAATGAAATGGGAATTCTTCCTTGAATAAAGAGCCTACTCTCCTGCTTACATTTCTAAAATTAATTAAATAACCACTACCTAAAAAGTAAGTAAATATACAACCTATCATACTAGTCATTTTCTGTATAAAACTCTTGTAACTTGGTAAAAGTATATACTCGGTATTTATTTGTATAGACAAAGTAAATTACTCATTGCCTTTTCCTTGTAGAGATATAAGCTAATGGGGGCCTTTATATTTTTCATTGGGGGCACATAGCTTTGTTTATATTTTTAAATTAGAACAACTACACTAAATCCAAAGAAAAGTAAGATTTTATTGGGGGCATGTGCCCCCATTAAACAAAACGTACGTCCGCCCCTGGTATTTTCCCCTTGCGCATGGCAGGACATACAACTAGTATATTCATACAAATGAATGCATCTTGAACTCCATATCCGCCCCTCGAGATACCCTCGACTCCCAGGTATTGGATACATTTACGCTCACCATGTAGCATATAGTGTAACGGGTAGTTCAGTTTCTCCAAACTGAAAAAGGAGCATATTTTTATATGGCATAATGCACTCGTCTTCACTGAAATTTTGTGACAACTTAGCGTACTAAAAAAGGCACATAAGACCCATATTTGAATTTCTATGAACCAATGTTCATGGTAGCAGTTTAATTGTTTTATGCCTAATGATGCTCACCCCATTTTAGTAGCTCCACTTGCTTGTTCTAAGACTGCAGTAACATCGTCCTTACAATTCATGATCCGGAAAAAGTAGAAAAAATACTGTAGTTCAATTAACTGAGACAATTGAATTGTCAAAATTTTTATGAAGTCCTATATGACTCCACTATGGAGTCATATAACACATGTGACATTATCACAATCATTCAATTCTATAGTGGATTTATAGTGTAGGATCCTACTTCATGAGTGAATGAATGTGATGGTGCCACATATGCTACATGACTCCATAGTGGAGTCATATAGGGCTCCATAAAATTTCCCATTGAATTGTGGTCTCTAATTCAGTGTGTTTGGTAGACATAAATCATCACTTTCTAGCTTTTCTACAAATTTCTAATTGTATGTTTGACATGACATGAGAGTTTTTTAAATAAAAGATCTTTAATGAGAAACTACACTAAGTAGCATATGAAAAAAGTGTGTAATTACTATTTACAAGAACATGTTATACCAAACACAACTAGGTCAAACAGTTAGTTTTTTTACCAAACAATTATAATTTTTTTATTTTAAAATCTTTATAGTCACTAAAAACTATTCCTTCCATCCCGCAAAATAGTTCCTGGTTTCTTTTTTGGGTCGTCCCAAAAAATCGTTTTCATTTCCTCTTTTAGAAAGTTTTGTGTAGGTCACATTCATTTATCTTTTTCTTACACAATCGTAACCGTACATTTCCACTTTACTTTCGCTTTCTTAAACTCTGATCCAAGTCAATGCGGGAACTATTTTATGGACGGATGAAGTAAAAATTTCTAAAAAAACTGATAAAAATATCTTTTCAACTGGTTGTGTCAAACATATCCTCAATTCCAATAGCGACAATATAAGGACTCTATTCATTGTGATGACTTCTTGTGTGCTCGAACTCTGTACCACTTCTTAGATGAATATTTGAGATAATAATGTGATTTACTCTTTCAATATACTAGTATCGCACCCGTGCGATGCACGGGACAATATTTTCTTGGTTTTTGGTTATGAGATATACATATAAAAATATCAAGGCACACACTTTTAATATAATAAGATTAATAAAATAAATGATATGAGAGATATGTTAATAAGTTGTTGAATTAACGAAGTAAGAACATTGTAATATAAAAAAACACTAAACGTTTTGAAAAACTTCTGGGTATACAACATTTAACGTTGAGTTACTGGAGGCACCATCGGGGTTGCATATCAATATTTTCAATCCTTCACGTCTGGTAACTCGGGAAACAGCAACGTAGAGTTGACCATGACAGAAAACCGGGTTTTTTAGGAACAACCCAACATGAGATAACGATTGTCCTTGACTTTTGTTGATTGTCATTGCGTATGAAACCATTATAGGGAATTGTCTTCGCTGAAACTTGAAAGGCATTCTAACATCTGATGGAGTCAAATTCAACCTTGGGATCAACACTTTTTGCCCTGCAGTATGCCCAGACAATATTTTAGCTTCCAACACATGACATCCGAGTCTTGTGATAACCAATCTTGTCCCATTGCAAAGCCCCATTGAATGATCTATATTGCGCAGTAACATAACTGGAGTGCCAACCTTCAAAGTCAACTCGTGATTTGGAACTCCAGAACACTTGAGACTATTTAGAAATTCAGGGGTATAGACATCAGCTAAAACATCTGCATTTGTGTTGGACTGGCAAGCACTGTCTGAACTAAAATAGGTTTTTGATTCTCGGGTATTCAGCGACATCATGTACTGATTGATGGAATCAACAACGTCTAGAGTTGGAGCCAGTATAGCCCGTTTTTCCAAATATGTCGGGTCGTCATCAATATCGGGAAAACCGGGGTATGTACTTCGGACTATGGTTGCTATTGGATCACTTTCATATTTCAGCAATATATCATCTGGTATCTCAATTGTTGCAAACCCATTTGATGAATCACCAATTGCACCATCACCGATTCTTGCAATCCATTCAGCAAACTTTCTAATCCATTCAATTTCATCCGGGGTGTTCGCACTTTGAAGCCTCATATTTTTCGTCAATCGCAGTACCTTACAACACCTCCATAGATAAGATGCATTGATAGTAGCTGAAACGATATCATTCCGAGATCCTTTGGGAATCACGGGCAATATTTGACGAAAATCACCCCCAAAAACAATGGTTTTTCCTCCAAAAGGAGTGCTCAAACTCACAGGATTCGTCAATTGCAATATATCACGCATAGTCTTATCAAGTGCTTCAAAACAATGTTTATGCACCATTGGGGCTTCATCCCATATGATAAGTTTGCACTTCACAATAAGTCCTGCCAATTGACTGCCTTGTTTTATATTGCACGTTGAGTCTTCATTTATGTTGATGGGTATAGCAAACCTAGAGTGAGCGGTTCTTCCACCAGGCAATAACAAAGAAGCTATCCCACTTGATGCTACATTAAGTACAATCTCACCTTTACAACGCAAAGCCGCCGATAAAGTTTTCCACACAAAGGTTTTCCCAGTTCCACCGTAACCATATACAAAGAAAACACCTCCAGTATTGGTGTGGACTGCATCAATTACAATATCATAAACCTCGCGTTGTTCTGCTGTTAAGTTGCATGTGAGACTATCATGCAGTCCTTTCATTTCGTTCTTGTTATATCGCAACTCTTCACATATCAATCTGTTGACGTTACTTTGAGTTATATCCCCACGCGGAAGTGGCATAGGGTAATAATCCTTTAAACTCCTTCCATAACTTTGCAGCAATCGCTCAATCTCAATAAGTGCCAGATTCTTAATCTCATCATCATCAAGTGTCAAGGCTACACGAATGGGGAAACAATATTATGTACGTTACAATGAACAATATAAAACGCTAATATTTCAAATGAATGTATTAGTATATGTAACACCTTCGTATTGCAACAAACGGCGTTGTTTGTAAAGAATGTCATCTGAAAAGAATGTCCAACATTTCTCCCAAATGTGCTCTTGATGTGACGCACAATTCGATGTCAAAATTGTTGTGAAAAGATATCTGAGTAAGAATGCAGAGGCTGAGTGACTTGACTCCTCAATTGCATCTATATATTCCCTATCATCGTCTAATAACCCTCGCTCGTAACATGCATCACGATAAGTCAAAAACTGTATGTCATCGACTATTTTCAAATCATCGTGGCACGTTGCTCCACGAACAACATTCATAAGGCATCGCATGTAAAATATTTCCCCGCTACCAGGAGGTACATAATTTATTCGCCCGATAGAAAATCCTTTCTTTCTTTCTTTCCACTCCTTTGTCTCTTTATGCCATACGAACTTCTGAGGGAACTCAACATAAGTTAAGTTTTTTGCTTCAGGATATTTCTTGTTTGCTTTGAACCAAGCCACAAACATGCTCTCCTTCATAGTTTGTTGATCTACCACGTTCTGCAACGATGAAGTGTCTGAGAAATATACATTCTGCTCACCAGGTAAATGCAAGCTTAATCGTTCAACCGCAGGATTTCTATATTGAATCTCAAAACCAAGAATTCTCCATGCTGCCTCACAAGGGGATACATATCTACAGTCATAGTACATCTTAATCTCATCAACAGGTTGATTGGACTCATCAGAACTTGGATTCTGGTAAAATGCAGCCGTCACGCGATCGTTCCCTTTGTTGACATACTTAAATAGGTACTTTATTGAGCGGGATTGATTGCACCACTCCACATTCATATGAGCACCATATTTAAGCAATAGATAACGATTATGTGGCACTACAAATTGATTGGTCAGCTCGACCTCCCCTTTTGTAATTGTCCTTCCATCATCCCTTCGTCTGTAGATCGGGTACCCTTCATCATCAATCGTCGTCTCCTCATTAAATTTCTTTGGAAAATGTTTAGTGCAACGACCATTTGACATACACGGAGAATTTGGCCTAGATGGTCCACACGGTCCGTGCATCATTAAATCGGCTACTGCATCATAATAAACAGGATCCACATTTTTATCTGGAATTTCAGCTGAAATGATACGGTCGATGTCATTTGCAAACGGAGATGGGTCATCTCTAGCTATGAACAGCAATATATGAGCGTGTGGCAGACCTCTTTTCTGAAACTCTATGGTGTATATGACTACAAAAGATTCCACAATCGTCATTACTTATACATAAATAAAAACTGCAGTTATCACAATAAAAGAATTACACATAAAATATATAAGCATAGACATGTTGTAGTATATTACCTGCTTTAACACGACCAAATATTTTATTATCTCGAAGATCTTTGATCAATCCGTCCAACTTGACTTTGAAAATTCGGCAAATAATATCAGCTCGGTCTTCTGGTTTGAGTCTCCTTTCTTCAAGAAAGCGGCTAATTTCAGACCATTTGGGATTGCAAGTAAACGTTATGAACAAATTCGGATATCCAGCCCAACGACATATCGCCATGGCGTCTTGATAATTCTGGATCATATATCGTGCCCCTCCGGTGAATGTAGAAGGCAATATAACTCGCTTCCCTTGAGCACGTGAGTCTGTTTCTCCCCGCAATATTGCATCCGAAAGACCTTTATACAACTCACATCGAAGTTCTTGTTGATGCGTCCTAACATACCTTAACCTCCCGGCTTCTACCATTGCGTACGCATCCACAACAAATTGTTGAAAGAGTCTCTTTGAGAAGAGTATGCTTGGGGATTCTTGATCTCTTTCATGCAAGCGAAATGCAAAATATTCCCTAACACTGATAGTAGTTCTTCCATTTGGTGTGGGTTTCTTCAAATCAGAAAATGGGATGTCTTCTCGATAACCGTCTTCTCCATAAGGAAATAGAAGAGGATATTGCAAAGGTAGATAAGCCGGATGCAGTTCATTTATACGTTGCAATGATCCAGAGTGTGCTTGTAGCACAATATCTCTGTTACCCAAATTTTCGTCAAAGTCACCTACTATTAACGCAGCCACTTCGGATGTTGAAGGAAGGTTATACGTTCGAGCATCAGAAACTCTCTTGCCAATGAGTTTCAACCGAATATTTAGCTCTCCATCAGTTACTTTCTGGCCAACCATTCTAAACGACTTAACGAATGCATTATTTTTGTCCAACATTTCTTTCAAATCGCCAACGATGTCGGTGTGGAGGGTGTTCTCCTCATCTACATCCCTATTAAATAAGAACCTCATATATTCAATGCACTTATTCATAAAAGGGATTTAAAGAGTATTGCATTACAGTAAGATTAACGGCATACACTAACCTCACAGATCTGATTCGATTAACCACCTCATTTGCAGTATCGTAGATGTACAATTGTGCAAATTTAGGTACTTCATTCTCCTCAGGCATAAGACTTCCAATCAAATGGTAGTTTTGTCCATGCAATTTGAAAACCGGTGGAGATTTACCTCTGTTGTGCTCAACATCAATCTTTCCTCCCATCGAAGTGAAAGAAAACATACTATTATATGATCGTATGTTTTTTAAAAAGTGTTTACTCTTTTCACTATCACCATATAGTAGATCAAGTAGTACTTGAGGAGGAGTCTTCATTGGCGAGAGCTTTATTGTACCATTCACACAACAGAGAGAATACTTTGGACTTTTGGATTTATAGTCAGCTCTCAATCGTTCGTCATACCAAAATGTTGCTCCACACTTCTCACACTTGTAAGTTGGATCTCCAATATCCCAATATGAAACAACTACACAAAATTCTACTATTTAAAAACTAATATAATTGAGAACGTAGAACTATGCTAATTATAAGATTAGAGTTTTGCATAAAAACTTTGGTAAAATAATATCTGTTTTGTAAATACATAAATATCCAAAGTATCAATAAGCGGAGACGAAGAAGAACAATTAATGTTGATCACCTTCCCCTGAAGTAGACTTAGTGGACACATGTTCCTCCACTCGTGCACGCTTTCTTGTCAAGCGATCCACATTTACTATACAAATATAAAAATCTAGATTAATTTAGCGATAAAGTAAAGAGTATTGCTGAATTATATACTATATAAATGATATGATACAATAATCTATCGTTTTTATAAAAAATAATTAAGCATCTGACTAAATTTTAGCAATAAAGTAAAGACTATTTTTGAATTATATACTATATAAATGATACGATACAATAATTAAGTAACACTTTTATTCGTCTTATCAAGTTTATCATCCAACTTTTTAACCAAACACGTAAATATTTTATTTTGCACGCTGAAATGTGTAATAATAAGATAAAGTAAGGTTGAAGTTAATTTGTTGGGACATTTTAGCTATTATTACACATATATTTTTTTTTGGGAGAATTTGACTTTGTACTCCATTTTTTGGGTGATATTGGACTTTGCACCCCATTTTAAAAAAAATTTGATTTTGCACCCTATCATATAACATTTGTGAAGGACCATTTCTAAATGGGGTGCAAAGTCAAATGATTTTGAAGTGAAATATGGTGAAAAGTCAAATTCTCCCATTTTTCTTTATTTTATTAATACAATATATTTTTATATTTATTTTTTTATAAATTAACCAATATAACCTTGTAAGCCAGAAATTTATAATTTTGAACAGAATGAATGGACTCAACTGATTTTAGCCAAACAAACTCAAAAAGTTACCAAATAGGTTCTTATAACCCAAACAACTTTGGCCCAACAACCTTGACCCAATAGAAAGAACCCTACACCCTCCCTATATATATGCTCCCTGTCCGAATGAGATCGCTTCACACTTCACGCACCTTCTTCCAAATCGGGCAGCCATCTCTCTAACACCCGATCACTCCCTTCTCCCTTCTTCCAAATCGGGCAGCCATTTTACTCGCTACCACTTCCACGCACTATCCGACTTCCCTTCCTACAGAAGTTTTGCCGTTCTTCACAGTCGATTTGCGGTGGAGGAAGGCAAGGTCGGAGCTGATGAGCCACACCGTAGCAACCTTCTCTCCTGTCTCAGTCAGATATGTTTTTTTTACTATATTCTTGTTTGTTTGGTTTTTTCCCCAATCTGATCTGTTTATTCATTGTATTCTTATAGATATAGTTTTGATAATAAATCCTTATGAACTGATTCTTCTTATGTGTAACTGTTGCAGCTCGTACATCGAAAAGAGGCTCGGTAAATGCTCTGAGAAATCAGCCGCCTGGAATGAGATAAGTTTTTCTCAACTTTTATGTGTTTATTCTTTTAGATCTGAAGGTTCTTCAAATTTATTTAGGTGTTATTATATATTAATCGTGTATATTTACAAAACTATATAATCGATTATTTTGAAATAAATTTTCATCAAAGTTTTTGGTGTTAATACTTTAGGCATCATATGTTTCTCTCTTCATCTCGTGTATTAACATCATTTTTCCTTAGATCTTAAAATTCTTATGTTACGAAACTGCTCCCATTCTTAAAATCAATTGGCGGGTTTAAAGAATGGAATTGTAATTTCTCTTTGTTTAAGAATGACGAACCTACCTGAAATTATACTACCTTTTTAATACTAAATGATTTTTTTCTACAGTGTTTAAGGTAAAGCCAATCTGAAGTTTATCTCATTAATATTATTATTATTGTGGGCTGTGAATAAAACTTGGGATCTAATCATTGGTCTTTCTACCATTTCAGGTTTGCCAAGAGCAAGGGGAAATAAAAGCACATCAAAGAAGAGAGACCCCTTTACTGCTTAAAGCTTCGATTAAAATCTTAAAAGGTTGAAATCACAACATTACTTCATTCACATTTTTAGAAAATAAACTGTTCTGTCAAAAACAACACTTCAATCTTCAGTTGAACTTTACACATCATTTTAATAACTTCGTAATATAATATAGTTGAATGGTAATACCCACCCACCTGGTTTTATTAAAATCTGAAATATTTTGTGAGATTTTCTAAATTTAACAAACATACTTTCCTATATGTGTGAAGTATATAATATATATCTGCTTTAAGTGTCCTTAATCTTTACAATATATATGAATCTTATACAAATATATAGGTAGTATTACACATTTGGTGGGTGTCGTTTAAGTGTTTTCATAATATGTATGTAAGTGCTCATTCTGTATCAGAAGCCTAATCTGTATTTTCAATTAGTTTATTTCCTATTCTTGTAAAAAACAATCTGTATTTTATCTTATTACTATTATGTGATGCTTATTTTGTATTGTTCCAAAAAAAAACAATCTGTATTCTCTCATATTACTATTATTATGGGCTGCTTAGGAAAAGTAAGAGTTTTCATTACTTCATTCACATTTTTAGAAAATAAACTGTTCTGTCAAAAACAACACTTCAATCTTCACATTTGTATTTATTTGAAACCCTCATGCTTTAAAACAAATGTAATGATTCACTTGAACTTTACACATCATTTTAAAAACTTCGTAATATAATATAGTTGAATGGTAATACCCACCCACCTGGTTTTATTAAAATCTGAAATATTTTGTGAGATTTTCTAGATTTAACAAACATACTTTCCTATATGTGTGAAGTATATAATATATATCTGCGTTAAGTGACCCAAATCTTTACAATATATATTAATCTAATACAAAAATACAGGTATTGTTATACATTTGGCTGGTGTCGTTTAAGTGTTTTCATAATATGTATGTAATTGCTCATTCTCAAAGAATAAGAAGCCTAATCTGTATTTTTAATTTAGTTTATTTCCTATTGTTCTAAAAAAACAATCTGTATTTTATCTTATTACTATTATGGGCTGCTTATTTTCTATTGTTCCAAAAAAACAATCTGTATTCTATCTTATTACTATTATGGGCTGCTTAGGAAAACAAAGATTTCTCATTTTGATCCCTATTTGTTTTGGTGTTTCCAACCCGATGTGTCAATCCATTGTTCTGTAATAGATATATTTCTGCTAATAAATCCTTATGAAGTGATTTATACGTATGTCTATCGGTCGCAGCTAATACATGGAAATGGAGCTAAGCACATGCTATTTAAGATCCACCACTTAGAATGAGATAAGTTTTTCCCAAACATGGTTCTTCAAAGTTATTAACATATGTTTTACTACCTCTGTTTTGGTCTGATGATACAAAATCACTTCAGTTCTTAAAACGCATATGTGGCCTTCATCATTAGGCAATAATTACAGTTTTTTAAAGATTAAGAATCCATTCTTAAAATATACCTTTTTCATACTAAATCAATTTTATATCATTACATCAATTTTAGGGAAAGTAAAACTTACTATATTTTTCACAATTTATTAAAATCTAATATGAACTTATATGTTTTGTTTTATGTTATGTGGATATCCTCCAAGTGTTTTCAAAAAAAAAAAACAATCTCTAGTTTATCTTTTACTATTATGGGCTGCTTTGTAAAATTCAGATTTATCATTTTCGTCCCTTGTTGTCTAAACACTGGAATGTAATGTTAATATGAGCAGTAATTTCTTTTATAATTGCTATTCCTGCAAGAGTAATAAAACTACCTTAAATTTTACTTAATTAGACAAAATCAATCTTTCTAAATGTTCGAGATAAACTTAATCTCAAGTTTATCTTATCATTATAGTTGACTTTTAAGAAATACTCGGTTTTTCATCATTGGTCATTATATATTTAAAAGAGCATGGAGAGTCCCAAAAGACAATGGCACATATACAATGAATGATACCTGGTTTACTACTTCTAGAGCGCTTGTTTCCGATGCTCTTTCTGGTACTTGAATTTGTGACGACATGTTCTCGAATATCCATCTCCTTATTCTTGTTCATCATCTATAGTTGGTGATTTGCTTTGTATGGAAGCATAAGCAGAATGAAACTCATTATCTTATAAAGAAATAAAAGAAGAAATATTTTGAATTGAAACCAAGGGTGTAGATAGTACCAGACGTTCTTGCTTCTTAGAGCTAAACAAAATTATTGCAAGTTCTCTCCCATACAGTTATTTTTAACCTTCTTAGAGCACTATTAAAATTCCTAAAAAAAGTGCTTGGTGTGGCGTAAATGTCTTCAACCACCCACCCACTATCAAATTAGTAGCAACTTTTGTATTAAATTAAAGATACTACGTAGAGTTTTTTTATACCACTATTGAAATCCCTAAAAATATGATTTGTACGTACAGTTTTTTTATACCACTATTGAAATCCCTAAAAATATGCTTTGCACGTACAGTTTT